TATTTTGGCCCATTCCTCCATGCAGATCTCCTCTAGAGCAGTGATGTTTTGGGGCTGTCGCTGGGCAACACGGACTTTCAACTCCCTCCAAAGATTTTCTATGGGGTTGAGATCTGGAGACTGGCTAGGCCACTCCAGGACCTTGAAATGCTTTTTACGAAGCCACTCCTTCGTTGCCCGGGCGGTGTGTTTGGGATCATTGTCATGCTGAAAAACCCAGCCACGTTTCATCTTCAATGCCCTTGCTGATGGAAGGAGGTTTTCACTCAAAATCTCACGATACATTGCCCCATTCATTCTTTCCTTTACACGGATCAGTCGTCCTGGTCCCTTTGCAGAAAAAAAGCCCCAAAGCATGATGTTTCCACCCCCATGCTTCACAGTAGGTATGGTGTTCTTTGGATGCAACTCAGAATTCTTTGTCCTCCAAACACGACGAGTTGAGTTTTTACCAAAAAGTTATATTTTGGTTTCATCTGACCATATGACATTCTCCCAATCCTCTTCTGGATCATCCAAATGCACTCTAGCTAACTTCAGACGGGCCTGGACATGTACTGGCTTAAGCAGGGGGACACGTCTGGCACTGCAGGATTTGAGTCCCTGGCGGCGTAGTGTGTTACTGATGGTAGGCTTTGTTACTTTGGTCCCAGCTCTCTGCAGGTCATTCACTAGGTCCCCCCGTGTGGTTCTGGGATTCTTGTGATCATTTTGACCCCACGGGGTGAGATCTTGCGTGGAGCCCCAGATCGAGGGAAATTATCAGTGGTCTTGTATGTCTTCCATTTCCTAATAATTGCTCCCACAGTTGATTTCTTCAAACCAAGCTGCTTACCTATTGCAGATTCAGTCTTCCCAGCCTGGTGCAGGTCTACAATTTTGTTTCTGGTGTCCTTTGACAGCTCTTTGGTCTTGGCCATAGTGGAGTTTGGAGTGTGACTGTTTGAGGTTTTGGACAGGTGTCTTTTATACTGATAACAAGTTCAAACAGGTGCCATTAATACAGGTAACGAGTGGAGGACAGAGGAGCCTCTTAAATAAGAAGTTACAGGTCTGTGAGAGCCAGAAATCTTGCTTGTTTGTAGGTGACCAAATATTTATTTTCCACCATAATTTGCAAATAAATTCATTACAAATCCTACAATGTGATTTTCTGGATTTTTTTTCTCTCAATTTGTCTGTCATAGTTGACGTGTACCTATGATGAAAATTACAGGCCTCTCTCATCTTTTTAAGTGGGAGAACTTGCACAATTGGTGGCTGACTAAATACTTTTTTTCCCCACTGTACCACCCTCATGGAGTCTGTTTCTGACTGTTTGAGCAGACACATGCACATTTGTGGCCTGCTGGAGGTCATTTTGCAGGGCTCTGGCAGTGCTCCTCCTTGCACAAAGGCGGAGGTAGCAGTCCTGCTGCTGGGCTGTTGCCCTCCTACGGCCTCCTCCATGTCTCCTGATGTACTGGCCTGTCTCCTGGTAGCGCCTCCAAGCTCTGGACACTACGCTGACAGACACAGCAAACCTTCTTGCCACAGCTCGCATTGATGTGCCATCCTGGATGAGCTGCACTACCTGAGCCACTTGTGTGGGTTGTAGACTCTGTCTCATGCTACCACTAGAGTGAAAGCACCGCCAGCATTCAAAAGTGACCAAAACATCAGCCAGGAAGCATAGGAACTGAGAAGTGGTCTGTGATCACCACCTGCAAAACCAGTCCTTTATTGGGGGTGTCTTGCTAATTGCCTATAATTTCCACCTGTTATCTATTCCATTTGCACAACAGCATGTGAAATGTATTGTCAATCAGTGTTGCTTCCTAAGTGGACAGTTTGATTTCACAGAAGTGTGATTGACTTGGAGTTTCATTGTGTTGTTTAAGTGTTCACTTTATTTTTTTGAGCAGTGTATATATACTTTTTTACCCCAAAAGTTATGATGTCAAAATGGCACCGCATGGTAGGAATGACCCAGCTAACATTTTACTGCATAATGAAATAATTAGCTTTTGATTAATCTTCTAGTTTCTCTTTAAGTGTGCCATTAAGTGATGGTGAAAGAGAGGGACTCAGCAGAAGTTTATTACCAGGGACTATGTAATAGAGTCCTGATGCCCATTGATCATAACAGAAGGGAGATCATTTGCATAATTTACCATTACACAGAATTAAATTCCCCCGTTGCCCTTTTCTTTGCAGCTTTTCTGAGCTTTTTAAAAACATTTTAGATGGCCCTTTTAAGTGTTAAAATGTAAGCAGCTATCCCCTTTATAGTAAAAACCCAATAATCCAGGTAACATGCTGTTAAATCATTAGCTTTAAGCAATGCTACATTCTTAGCTCGCCCTCCGAACTTGTTCATTGTAAATCACCCATGCCAATATCTGCATGGAAGGAATAATGGAAATATATCTTCTTTAACACAGTAAATTATGTTAAGTATTAAAGTCACAGGATACAAAGATAGTGCAGGAGGCTGTATATCTCATCCTGGTAGGGCCCTGACAGTCAGAATACAAGCCCCTGACAGTGTTCCTCTCTCCTCAAGCCCAGCTTAGTCCATCATCCATTTTCCCTCTCTCCCTCTCTCCCTGCCTCACCTCCAGCCTTTGAAGATCCCCCTCACCTGCAAACTAACATGTTTGTGCTACAGTTAGCTACTCCCAAAGAACAACACTGAAGAAAAAGCACTGCAGGAGTGATGGAAATGACTCTGCATCACCATTCCGTGAGTGCAAATGGCTTGCTTTCCTTGGCTGCTTAACAGGACAGTTAGTACACCAGTTGTTACAGCATTAACAGGCCAGCCAATTTCTCTGATCGTCATTCCAGATTGAATTAAAAAACACTTGTCTCAAGGACCATGTACCCACAGAAAAGCATGATTCAGTACTGCAGCCTACAACAACACTGTATAACATTATGTTGAACTGTTTACATAAAAGCCCCTTATACCAAGCTTTACCTATGTTGCATTCTGTCAAACTAAGAAATTGTAAAATGATGTACAGTGGGGGTCTCCTCAAACTTTTTCTCTCTGAAGACCACCAGTGCCCAATTGTAGGGTGTCCACCCACTCTGCCCAGAGTGGGTGAAAACGCTCTTTGGTGATGACATTTCACTTCCTTATGTTATAAAATACATTTTACCAAGACAAATATGATTATTCATGTTCTGAATAGTTCAGTGGGGTCTTTCTTTAACATTTAATTAACAGTGTATCCAAACAGTCAGATTTCATAACCTAATGCAGCCGATAATAAGCACCAAGCTCTGTTGACAGAGCGGTGAAGTTTTCTCGCAGAAACCTTTGAGGATTTACATGTGTTGGTCGTCTTCAAAGTTGTTTCCACGGGTCACAAAAAGCAAAATTAGCATGAAAAGCTGAATTAAATGTAGAAGGTTTTGAAAATAGAAAGCTTGTGGTACACTTAGTGCTCCGATGACATTTCACAGAGATACACTTGTTTTAGTTCGAAATCTTATAAAAAGAACAGGAATTTCGCATTCATATGGAAAGCGTATATTTAAATATGAACATATCGATATCTATCTTAGCTCTATATTGTTTTATGTCCTGCGGATTTGAGAAGAAAGATGACGAGTTCAACGGGAAAGTGAGCCTTAACCTTAATCCTCGCACAGCATCTAGCCTAGCTGGCATGAAGCTGTGCAATTTTCCTTATTTTTCACCACTTTTCTTCTCTGACAACAGGTTTGGACCATTGGTTTTCTTAGAGGATTATCCACACTATTAACATATTCTTTTACCCATTGGTCAAAATAATAAGTATGTATTTGATTGAACACCATACCAATTGAAAAGGTTAACAGAAACACACACAGAAACATGCACACACACACTCACGTGCACACAGCACATTGAGAGGCTACTCTTTATAATCGCTCGACATTGTGATGGTGTTTATGACATGTAAACCTATCATCATCTCTGCCGTGAGAGTATCTCCAGTTCTGCTCAGTGAGAGGCTCAGAGGAGAGAGGTCTGAGAAGTCTATGAAATACTTAAGAGTCCTTCAGTATAACCAGTAAACCAAAATATATCTCTCATGAACACCTCTATTCATAGCTACTGTATAGAAACCATCTGAGACTGGCTGTGTTTAAAATCTAATATTTTACTATCCTCATGTTGAAACAAACATACAGACTTGTGTTTTCTGATTGATGTTTCTAAATCCACAAGAAACCACCAACAAATCAAACACAGTTGGAGGTGACTGAATACAGATCTACTGATTGAAATAAAGAAGAGAACAGAGGATATGGGGAGTGAGATTTCCGTGCCATTTGAGAGACCGACAACAGTCTGCCAGTGCCAATCATAACCAAACATAAGCACCCTTCTTATCCACTTTCAGTTTCATAATCCCGGAGCATAGACTGTTGTAACAAAGATCTTGTCTGTACCGTGGTCTGATGAGGTGCAGAATACTGCAGCATAAGGACTGGTGACAAAGGTTTTTACTGACCTCTAGTGGTGGTTTTAAAGACTAACAAGTAGTAAGATATGGGTTTGCATACTTCTGCTCAGAGTTAAAGGGACAATCTGCAGTTCAAACAACAACAAAGCAGAATTGTAACCACCCTCAAATTCATGGCAGCGCTATAGATGCAAGGACTGACCATCCATGTATAGTATAGTTTTAACCATGTTTTGAGGCTATGCAGTGACAGTGTTTGTTTACAATTACAATGTTTACAAACAATAGAGTAAAACAATCTATTATGGGTTCTGATGGGGCATGACAGTTGAACTAAGCTCATTAGGCATTTATAAGTTTGTATCTTTGAAAATCTATCTGTATATATTGTTAATTTAGAAATACACAAATGGATGTACCAATTGCAGATTGCCCCTTTAAAGGAATTCTTCCGGGATTTTTTTTATCTACTTCCCCGAACTCGTGGATACCAATTTTATGTCTCTGTGCCCAGTATGAAGGAAGTAAGAGGTAGTTTTGCAAGCCAGTTCTAACTAGTGTTAGCACAATGACTGGAAGTCTCTGTGTATCTACTAGAACGCTAGCAGATACCCATAAACAACGCTAGTTTGGTTCACTGAATTATCCTCTCAGAAGTATGCTTGAGAATGACCAGTTGAGTCAGTGGCCACATTCAGTACCATACATCAAATGATCATCAACACAAATGACCATCTCTAAGACATATCTTTGGATGCCAGCAAAAAAAGTGATAAAATCTGACTGTCAAATGTGAAATCCATCTGATTTAAACATGTCAAGCTCAAATCATAGTCCTTAGTTATTATAACACATATACACATTTCAGACATACAGTATACTGTATATTCATTTGTTCTTATTTACAGCTGTGCTTCAGACATGGAGAGGGTTCATTTGGTGTCCCATTATAAATACAATTTCTTCACCTGACAATCTTACTTAAAAAAAAACACAAGTGCATTGAAAGTACAGACAAATATGATATAGTCATAATTTGTGTACTCACAAGGAAGGGGAAACTACGTTGAAATTCAGTGTCAATGCTCACACAAGTAGACACATTTCACAAGGTCTTCTTAGTCAATAATCAATATTCTATTCCTTACCAATCCAGTCTTGAGTAACAGAAGTTAACAATTATACTGCGTTGTGGATGGGAATAGGGGGAGTCCTCCATCTATGGTGAATAGTCATGCCCCCATCCGTGCCCTCTGACCACGCTCTATTGTCCCTGTCCTGGTCTGGTCTGGTCCAGTAAGTTCTGGTATGGTATGGTATGGTCCGGTCCGGTCAGTTCTGTTGACCCCTGAGGCTCTGTGGTCCTCAGCTGGACACAACGCTGTCTGAGTCTGATCCAGAGGCTTCAACCTCATCAGCAGAGGCGGTCAGTGCAGGGTAAGGCCGTGGCTGGTCCAGGTTGACGTAGGTCACCTTCAGGCTGATATAATGCTCTCCCTCCAGGCAGGACAGGATCTCTAGCACCTCCTGGCCCAGCGTGTGGAAGTCAGGCCTGAGCTCCGGCTCTGGGTCCCAGCACTCCAGCATGATAGAGTACCTGTAGAGAAACAATAGCATGACAGAGCTACAGTATAGAACAATGACAACAGCTGTCAACAACCATGACAGAGTTCCTAATGCAACAACAACAGCTATAAACGACTGTGATAGAATAGCTGTAGATCAGGGATGGGTAACTTTGATTGGGGTGGGGGCCACAAAAAAACCTGAACACATCATGAGGGGCTGCAGTGGCTCGCGGGTCTGTGTACCCACATCCATACCCACACATGCAGTCAGAGCCGGCCCTAGCCTTTTGGAGGTCCTAAGCAAAACATTTAAACTGCCCCCCCCCCCCCTCTTGACAGCGGAGAGAAAATTTTTTTCCTGCAATTCTATAGATTTTTTCATGGGGCGTAGAGAAAATTTTGCAGTTTTAAAGCATGTTTGCTGCAATTCTACCTATTTTGCCTTGCGGCAGAGAAAAGATTTTGCAATTTTATAACTAATTTCATGCAATTCTACTCATCTTGCCATGGGGCGGAGAGAACAATTAGCAGTTTTACAGCTAATTTCCTTCAATTCTAAACATTTTGCCCTGACTTATGCCATGTTATGATATCTGAGTGAGAGTGAAAACAAAATCAATGTTTACTACAAGTTTAGATAGCTGACTAGACCAACTTACCAATCTAAAAATGTTTAGCCGCCATGCTCTAATTGAGTGACTGTCAGTGACTGACATAAAAATAGAAAAACTGCTGATGCACAATCACATTTCTAAATTGCACCTTGTGTATTCTACTATTCTAACTCTCAACAGTCAGTTTGAGACCCTGACTGACATTTTAACATGCGGCCAGTTGCCCGTTAAAATGATCTTACAGTAGATTACTTACAAAGCATCAGGGCAGAACTGTGGCTGGGGCAGCCTGCGTCCCTTCAACAGGAAGTGAGTGATGTCATAGGGGTCCACTTCAGGATAGGGGCTCGCTCCTCTGGTCAACAGCTCCCACATCAGGACCCCAAATGACCACTGTGAAGACAAGGGATAAAGAGCTCGAGTACATTTACAAGAACATTTACATCATTTAGCCAGAGCGACTTACAGTAGTGAGTGCATCTATTTTCATACTTTTTCGTACTGTAAGATAGATACAGTATACAGGTTACAGTGGCTATAAGGTAATTGGAATTGAATCATATTCACTCACCACGTCTGACTTAGTGGTGAACTTCTGTATTTGAAGGCTCTCTATGGCCATCCACTTGACTGGCAGCTTGGCCTTCCTCTGGTCCTGAATACTGTAGTACTCCTTACCAAACACATCCCTGGCCATGCCGAAATCTGCCACCTTCACCGTGAATGTTTCATCAAGCCTAAAGAGACAATAGATAATAGACAGATATTATAGATGGGACAACCAGGCACTGGATTGAGAAATAGCCTTCACGAAACACTAACGAGTGATAGAGCTGCCCTGCACTTACATGCAGTTTCGAGCTGCCAGGTCTCTGTGTACAAACTTCTTCTGGGCCAGGTACTCCATCCCTTTGGCAACCTGTAGCCCAAAGCCAATCAGGTCTTTCACTGTTGGATTCTGGAGGAAGAGAGGTGACACAGGAGTCATTCATGAAAAAGAAATACGTATATTCTCTCTGACGAGCTGACTAGTGGCTATACTTTGTTATTATGAAGTATGAGGAAGAGTAGGCCTTTAACTTACCCTCCTTTCACAGAGTATGAAGTGGCGCAGGTCTCCATGTTTCATATAGGGCAGCACCACCAAGGGAAGCCCCTCCAGAGGCAGCAGGATACCCAGCAGGGAGAGAACGTTGGTGTGATGGAACCCCTTCATCAGGATGCCCTCTCTCAGAAACTGCTCCACCTCCTCCAGGTCTGTGATCCCTGTGAAAGAGAGAGGGAGAGAATTGAACTATGTGTACCAAGCAGGATATACACCACAGGTGACTAGCACAGTTGTTTATGGCATGAGGGCTCATCCCAACAAAATGAGAAGAATCCACTTACTGTTCAATGACTTAACAGCACAGTGAATTAACTGTTCTTGATTATTGTTGTCTGTCAGGTAGCCGTGGTACACAGTCCCAAAATGACCTGAATAACGACAAAATTACATCAGAGTTTTTGGGGATATGGCTCTAGTCTAGTAAAAAAAAGAATGAACAGGTGAATGAGTAGAAATAGTTGGATTCTAATGAAGATGACTACCAGACCCATTTTGCTTCTCTCAGTCTGTATCTGAGGAGATCCCGATCTGTGTGGCGTGACAATGACCATAGGTGTCGGCAAGATCTTGGAACAGGCTATCCAGACCATACCTTTGCCGATGATCTGGTTGCGGTGAACATTGAGCGTGTTGGCTGGGATCAGGACGTCTTTGACCTCCTCCAGGAGCTCAGGTCTCAGTGTGTCCAATGAGATCAGAGGCATGGCTGAGGGGTCAAAGGTGGCAGCGTTGACCAGGCCATGGAAGGCTATCCCTCCTGAGCCTGTCGCCTGGCTCACCTGGTTGGACCATTCTGGAGTACAGAGGAGACACGGCAAGAGAAACCATTGATTAATGAATATGAATCATAAGATTAATGAACCATAATAAATGTTCACACCAAGGATCTCACCTCGTCTATAGTCACCAGTGGGGGATAGGTCAGGGTTGCTGCTTATCTGACTGCGGACAAACATCCTTGCTAAACGAGTCTCTAATTTAGCTGAAATTTTTTAATCAACATAATGAATTAGATTGCCATATACAGTACATACTCAAGTCAAAGCAAAAACTTCAGATACCTAGTAGAAAACATTAAATGTCTTAGTTGCACACATGGTAAGTTATTGATTACATAACAACAATTGTTAAAGGCATAAAAATGTAGGTCTGTCTAACCCGTGCCATTATTTAAGAGTGCTGGTAAATGTACTGGTAGATGAAAGTACATCTTGTAGCGAATTCCACAGACAGTAACGGTTCTCACCGTTCTTCTTCCTCCTCATATGTTTCATGATGATGAAGGCCAGGGCAGCGCCAACACACAACGCAGTGAAAATTCCCAACATGATACCCACTGTGTTGATGGTGTTGTTGACGAAGACCACCGTGCCCACCTTATAGGCACGGCCATTCACAGACACCTAGGACAGAAACCAGGATATTGCTCACACCTTACTCTGGGATCAGTTTGGTATCACTTTACTTTAGGACCAGTTTACTAATGGATTGATGGTTTGCTTTCAAGGTTAGGGTAAATTCCATTTCAATTCAGGAAGTAAACAGAAATTCAAATATCAATGCCTGTTAGCTCGCACGATTCTTGCCATTCTCCATCAACCTCTATCATCAACGAGCTGTTTTTGCCCACAGGACTGCCGCTGATTGAATGTTTTTTGTTTGTTGCACCATTCTCGGTAAACCCTAGACAATGTAATGCGTAAAAGCCCAGGAGGGCGGACGTTTCTGAGATACTGGATCTGGCGCGCCTGGCACCGACGATCATACCATGCTCAAAGTCACTTAGGTCCCTCGTTTTGCCCATTCTAACGTTCAATCGAACAGTAACTGAATGCCTCAATGCCTGTCTGCCTGCTTTATATAGCAAGCCATGGCCACGTGACTCGCTGTCTGTAGAAGCGATCCATTTTCATGACGGGGGTGGTGTACCTAATAAATTGTGTATATGGAAGTAGTTTAGTGCCCCAGAAAAATGGGTTAAGTATGGGTAAAACATTTTTGGGGAAATAATTTCATGATCTTTCTTACAGTGTGGGAAAAAAGTATTTGATCCCCTGCTGATTTTGTACATTTGCCCACTGACAAAGAAATGATCAGTCTATAATTTTAATGGTAGGTTTATTTGAACAGTGAGAGACAGAATAACAACAAAAAAATCCAGAAAAACGCATGTCAAAAATGTTATAAATTGATTTGCATTTCAATGAGGGAAATAAGTATTTGACCCCCTCTCAATCAGAAAGATTTCTGGCTCCCAGGTGTCTTTTATAAAGGGAGTGCTCCTAATCTCAGCTTGTTACCTGTATAAAAGACACCTCTCCACAGAAGCAATCAATCAATCAGATTCCAAACTCTCCACCATGGCCAAGACCAAAGAGTTCTCCAAGCATGTCAGGGACAAGATTGTAGACCTACACAAGGCTGGAATGGGCTACAAGACCATCGCCAAGCGGCTTGGTGAGAAGGTGACAACAGTTGGTGCGATTACTCGCAAATGGAAGAAACACAAAATAACTGTCAGTCTCCCTCGGCCTGGGGCTCCATGCGAGATCTCACCTCGTGGAGTTGCAATGATCATGAGAACAGTGAGGTTTCAGCCTAGAACTACACGGGAGGATCTTGTCAATGATCTCAAGGCAGCTGGGACCATAGTCACCAAGAAAACAATTGGTAACACATTACGCCGTGAATGACTGAAATCCTGCAGCGCCTGCAAGGTCCCCCTGCTCAAGAAAGCACATATACATTGCTGTCTGAAGTTTGCCAATGAACATCTGAATGATTCAGAGGAGAACTGGGTGAAAGTGTTGTGGTCAGATGAGACCAACATCAAGCTCTTTGGCATCAACTCAACTCGCCGTGTTTGGAGGAGGAGGAATGCTGCCTATGACCCCAAGAACACCATCCCCACCGTCAAACATGGAGGTGGAAACATTATGCTTTGGGGGTGTTTTTCTGCTAAGGGGACAGGACAACTTCACTGCATCAAAGGGACGATGGACGGGGCCATGTACCGTCAAATCTTGGGTGAGAACCTCCTTCCCTCAGCCAGGGCATTGAAAATGGGTTGTGGATGGGTATTCCAGCATGACAATGACCCAAAACACACGGCCAAGGCAACAAAGGAGTGGCTCAAGAAGAAGCACATTAAGGTCCTGGAGTGGCCTAGCCAGTCTCCAGACCTTAATCCCATAGAAAATCTGTGGAGGGAGCTGAAGGTTCGAGTTGCCAAACGTCAGCCTCGAAACCTTAATGACTTGGAGAAGATCTGCAAAGAGGAGTGGAACAAAATCCCTCCTGAGATGTGTGCAAACCTGGTGGCCAACTACAAGAAACGTCTGACCTCTGTGATTGCCAACAAGTACTAAGTCATGTTTTGCAGAGGGGTCAAATACTTATTTCCCTCATTAAAATGCAAATCAATTTATAACATTTTTGACATTAGTTTTTCTGGATTTTTTTGTTGTTATTCTGTCTCTCACTGTTAAAAAAAACCTACCATTAAAATTATAGACTTATCATGTCTTTGTCAGTGGGCAAACGTACAAATTCAGCAGGGGATCAAATACTTTTTTCCTTCACTGTATATCTCTCAGATATAAGAAAGACACTTTAAAACAAAGTTCCTTTTGATTTATTTTTTGACTATTTGCTTTTCCTTGTATGAATCTGATATTAAATGCTTTCTATGGGCTAATAGCCACCCCGGTTTCGACTCTTAAGGATTAAGTTCAATTAGGTTCACCATTACAGCAAGTAGAGTAGCTCACCATGACAGGCAAACCTTCACTGGGGATGATGAGATCCTTGGGGATCCTGCAGGTCAGTTCATTGTCCAGTACTTGGACTCCACAGTCCACACCTCCGATGGTCATTATGATCTCCATACAGAGGCTCACCATGCTTAGCTTGTTGTGCTGCAGAACATGCGAAAACTCTTATTGAGGAACTGGTTGAAATTACAGTTGAAGTCGGAGGTTTACAAACATTTAGGTTGGAGTCATTCAAACTCGTTTTTCAACCACTCCACAAATTTCTTGTTAACAAACTATAGTTTTGGCAAGTCGGTTAGGACATCTACTTTGTGCATGACACAAGTAATTTTTTCAACAATTGTTTAAAGACAGATTATTTCACTTAGAATTCACTGTATCACAATTCCAGTGGGTCAGAAGTTTACATACACTAAATTGACGGTGCCTTTAAACAGCTTGTAAAATTCCCAAAAATGATGTCATGGCTTTAGAAGCTTCTGATAGGCTAATTGACATCATTTCAGTCAATTGGAGGTGTACCTGTGAATGTATTTCAAGGCCTACCTTCAAGCTCAGTGCCTCTTTGCTTGACATCATGGGAAAATCAAAAGAACTCAGCCAAGACCTCAGAATTTTTTTTTTAGACCTCCACAAGTCTGGTTCACCCTTGGGAGCAATTTCCAAGCCTGAGGGTACCGCGTTCATCTGTACAAACAATAGTATTCAAGTATAAACACCATGGGACGACGCAGCCGTCATACCGCTCAGGAAGGAGACGCGTTCTGTCTCCTAGAGATGAACGTACTTTGGTGTGAAAAGTGCAAATCAATCCCAGAACAACAGCAAAGGACCTTCTGAAGATGCTGGAGGAAACAGGAACAAAAGCATCTATATCCACAGTAAAACAAGTCCTATATCAACATAACCTGAAAGGCCGCTCAGCAAGGAAGAAGCCACTGCTCCAAAACCGCCATAAAAAAGCCAGACTACGGTTTGCAACTGCACATGAGGACAAAGATCGTACTTTTTGGAGAAATGTCCTCTGGTCTGATGAAACAAAAATAGAACTGTTTGGCCATAATGACCATCGTTATGTTTGGAGGAAAAGGAGGGTGGCTTGCAAGCCCAAGAACACCATCCCAACCGTGAAGCACGGGGGTGGCAGCATCATGCTGTGGGGGTGCTTTGCTGCAGGAGGGACTGGTGCACTTCACAAAATAGATGGCATCATGAGGAAGGGAAATGATGTGGATATATTGAAGCAACATCTCAAGACATCAGTCAGGAAGTTAAAGCTTGGTTGCAAATGGGTCTTCCAAATGGACAATGAACCCAAGCATACTTCCAAAGTTGTGGCAAAATGGCTTAAGGACAACAAAGTCAAGGTATTGAAGTGACCATCACAAAGCCCTGACCTCAATCCTATAAAACATTTGTGGGCAGAACTGAAAAAGCGTGTGCGAGCAAGGAGGCCTACAAACCTGACTCAGTTACACCAGCTCTGTCTGGAGGAATGGGTCAACATTCACCCAACTTATTTTGGGAAGCTTGTGGAAGGCTACCTGAAACGTTTGACCCAAGTTAAACAATTTAAAGGCAATGCTACCACATACTAATTGAGTGTATGTAAACTTCTGACCCACTGGGAATGTGATGAAATAAATAAAAGCTATATAATAAATAATTCTCTCTACTATTATTCTGACATTTCACATTCTTAAAATAAAGTGGTGATCCTAACTGACCAAAGACAGGGAATTTTTACTAGGATTAAATGTCAGGAATTGTGAAAAACTGAGTTTAAATGTATTTGGCTAAGGTGTATGTAAACTTCTGACTTCAACTGTACATCCTTAAAACCAGATTACACACTTTCAGTTGTAAACTGGTTGAAATTATGTCATTTCAACCAGCTTTGCCCACTGGTACCTAATAAATGAAGAAATCAACTACTTGCACAACAACAATTATGGTTAGATTTACCCATCAATCAATTGGTTAATCTAGAGTTACTGTAATGGTTGAAAACAATGATGATTTATTGACTGACTGACTACACAATTGGCTCTCTTCAAAGCTGAGTCCTGTGTGTATGATTGTGAACGTACATGCAGTGAAACCTCAGTCTGTCCAGGGCTCAGGCTCAGAACGTTGCCTTCGTACTCAAAGGGGGTGATGCTGGCGTCTGGTTGGTAGTCGAAGCGCTGCTTCAGGAGATTGGCCCCATCCATGCTGATATTGATCATGCCCTTGTCTGTCTCATTTCTGTGGAAGACTGGGGCAAAGCACTCCATACGTGTGGGGGTTGCTGTGCCGTTGCAGACCTGGGTTACATTCAACACATCAAATAGTGTCTCTGGGGTCATTTAATCAAATAAAATCAAAGACTGGCATTTAATGGATATTACCCCCATCATAGGTTTATGAAGCCCAGAGTTGTGAGCCCTGAAAGATAACTTACACGCTGCAGAAGCTTCTTCTGGTTGGGTCTGAAGGATTTGTATTGGATCACAGTGTTGTACGCAGAGTCCAGATTTTTGCCTTTGATGATGATCTTGGATCCACTAAATCACAGGATTGAACAAAGAAAAAAAAAACATATACAGACTTGGTGTTAGAGGTCAACGTTGCTGACTGTAGAAACCAGAGAAACCAGCACTATTTGCAGTTTATTCTCTATTATGATTCAAATGGTTGTGGCAGTTACTGAAATCTGACCCAGAAAAGACACAGCATTGTAAAACAACAGGTCTTAGCATGTATATTTCTGTTGGCTAATCCCAACATCCTCACTTAGGTTTACCTCATTGCCTCAAGAGAGATTGCACATTTCCTGCACAGCATGTTTTCCCTCAGCTAAAAGTGTAGGCACTGCCCTGAATACATTTGCCTTATCACTGTCTTCTCGTCATCATCATCTGTGTGCAATTAACAGTTTTCTACAGTTTTATATAGCGCATTTGCAGGTCAGTCAGCTAGGCCCAGAAGCACACAGATGATGCCTAGTGGCTAGTATACAGTTGTATGGCCTACCTTCGGAAGCTGCAGGCAGGCTGTATCTCAGTGATCACAGGGTTGATCTTGTAGTGGAACATCTTGGTAGTGGACACCTGGGATTGGTCAATGAAAACCCTCACGGGCACCTTCTTCACAGCTGCCACGCCTTTAGACAGGCAGACTATGGAGGACATGGTCCCAGTACCCTCAGAGACACTGACAGAGACACAGTAAGACAAGAACATAAAATTATGGACACTGATATAGATCCAGACAGAAACAGTAAAATACATATGTACCATGAAAGGCACAGGTTCTACAGTTACAATGAGACATAATTACCTCTTGATGGGGCAGTCTTGGTCTCCTATAGTCACAGTCTTAATCATCCCAGTATTCAAGTGAGGCCCTGTCAGTGTGACCAAAGTCCCCCCTACCTGAGGCCCGTAGTCAGGCATGATTTCTGTGATATTTGGCTCCTGGATAGAATTGTAGACATTAGGGTGGATGAAATACACTGCTCAAAAAAATTAAGGGAACATTTAAACAACACAATGTAACTCCAAGTCAATCACACTTCTGTGAAATCAAACTGTCCACTTAGGAAGCAACACTAATTGACAATAAATGTCACATGCTGTTGTGCAAATGGAATAGACAACAGGTGCAAATTATAGGCAATTAGCAAGACACCCCCAATAAAGGACTGGTTTTGCAGGTGGTGACCACAGACCACTTCTCAGTTCCTATGCTTCCTGGCTGATGTTTTGGTCACTTTTGAATGCTGGCGGTGCTTTCACTCTAGTGGTAGCATGAGACAGAGTCTACAACCCACACAAGTGGCTCAGGTAGTGCTGCTCATCCAGGATGGCACATCAATGCGAGTTGTGGCAAGAAGGTTTGCTGTGTCTGTCAGCGTAGTGTCCAGAGCATGGAGGCGCAACCAGGAGACAGGCCAGTACATCAGGGACGTGGAGGAGGCCGTAGGAGGGCAACAACCCAGCAGCAGGACTGCTACCTCCGCCTTTGTGCAAGGAGGAGCAGGAGGCCACAAATGTGCATGTGTCTGCTAAAACGGTCAGAAACAGACTCCATGAGGGTGGTATGAGGGCCCGACATCCACAGGTGGGGGTTGTGCTTACAGCCCAACACCGTGCAGGACGTTTGGCATTTGCCAGAGAACACCAAGATTGGCAAATTCGCCACTGGTTCCCTGTGCTGTTCACAGATGAAAGCAGGTTCACACTGAGCACGTGACAGACATGACAGAGTCTGGAGACGCCGTGGAGAACGTTCTGCTGCCTGCAACATCCTCCAGCATGACCGGTTTGGCGGTGGGTCAGTCATGGTGTGGGGTAGGCATTTCTTTGGGGGGCCGCACAGCCCTCCGTGTGCTCGCCAGAGGTAGCCTGACTGCCATTAGGTACCGAGATGAGATCCTCAGACCCCTTGTGAGACCATATGCTGGTGCGGTTGGCCCTGGGTTCCTCCTAATGCAAGACAATGCTAGACCTCATGTGGCTGGAGTGTGTCAGCAGTTCTTGCAAGAGGACGGCATTGATGCTATGGACTGGCCCGCCCGTTTCCCAGACCTGAATCCAATTGAGCACATCTGGGACATCATGTCTCGCTCCATCCACCAACGCCACGTTGCACCACAGACTGTCCAGAAGTTGGCGGATGCTTTAGTCCAGGTCTGGGAGGAGATCCCTCAGGAGACCATCCGCCACCTCATCAGGAGCATGCCCAGGCGTTGTAGGGAGGTCATACAGGCACGTGGAGGCCTGACTTGTTTTAAGGACATTACATCAAAGTTGGATCAGCCTGTAGTGTGGTTTTCCACTTTAATTTTGAGGGTGACTCCAAATCCAGACCTCCATGGGTTGATAAATTTGATTTCCATTGATAATTTGTGTGTGATATTGTTGTCAGCACATTCAACTATGTAAAGAAAAAAGTATTTAATAAGATTATTTCATTCATTCAGATCTAGGATGTGTTATTTTAGTGTTCCCTTTATTTTTTTTGAGCAGTGTATATTGTTTTGAATGAAAAGTTGTGTCAACAGTAAAATAAATGTGATCCTCCTCACCACAAAAGTGAACCCTGTAATTTGGGCCTGCCCTTGGATTGAGTAGCGTCCCTCCACCTTCCCCTCATGCACTTCCACAGTGATGTTGAGATCCTGGTATGGACCTGGAATCTTAGGGTGAATTCTACACACCAGTCTAGGAGTGGTCAGGGTGAAAGATCAGTGTTGACTACAGCCTAAATAATAACAAAATGATGAGGTGATTTGACGGAGTTGATTTGAAGTTTAGATGTGTCTGTTACTTACTGTGTACTATTGCTCTTCTCTGACAGCACAGTGCAGGGGGTCTCTCCCACCCTCACCAGGTGGGTCTCCTTGCTGATGATGGCTGGTCGTAGAGGAGACTGGAACTCCCAGCCACACAGCTTAAGCTCTGTCTCACCATCAGGGGGAGCTGTCTTTGGGAAAAACTGGATCCCCAATACAATACAATCAGATGCAGTTGACATTTCCACAAATGCTTTACACATTTTCTTCAAATGCTCAACTACTCACTTTCAAATATTCTATTGCCAATGTGTTGGTTTCTTCGACCCACGTGTTTGGTGGTCGTTGTTCTGACATTTATAACAGAGGACCGGTTTAAAAGAGCCACTCCCTACTCCCAGTAGTCTTACCTCTGTGATAACGGGAGGACAGGACTCATTCTTCCACTGGGTGGGGCACTCCTCCTGCCTGGAGCACACCCCCGAGCACCAGCCACACCCTATAAACCTGGGCGCTACCAGGCATGTGGAGCAGGTCAGGAAGTGTTTACATCCTGGCCCTTTAGGAGACACACTGAACATCTGTTACAGAGAAAGAGGAAGAGAGAGGAGTGAAGAGAGGGGGAGAGAGGGAAGAGAGAGAACAGGAGAGAGAGGAAGCGAGGGGGTGAAGAGAGGGAACAGGAGAGAACAGGAGAGAGAGGAAGAGAGGGGGTGAAGAGATGGAGAGAAGGGGGAAGAGAGAGAACAGGAGAGAGCGGAAGAGAGAGGTGTGAACAGAGGGAACAGGAGAGAACAGGACAGAGAGGTGTGAACAGAGGGAACAGGAGAGAACAGGAGAGAGAGGAAGAGAGAGGGAAGAGAGAGAACAGGAGAGAGAGGAAGAGAGAGGGAAGAGAGAGAGAAAATAAAGGGAGTGGGAAATACATTATTACAGTATGCTCTGCCTTTAGAAGTCAAAAGTAAAACAAATAAGCAAAGTGTGGTAATGAGCATTTATGATTGAATAGAAAAGGCACCTTATTTCCAACAATAAAAAGCAAGGACTCATCAGATTGCACAGCAGCTTTCCTGGACACTTCTGTTTCCTCACCCAGAGAATAGTTGGCAAAGATGATAGGACCTGACCTCCTCAGGATGAGCTACAACAGTCAAATACACTACAGTTATAACATTGAGCCATGGCAGACCTATGAAAGGAATGGATTTATAATATATTCTACTTAGGTTGGTTAAAGTGCTGAGAGAGCTAATGATCTTCATTGGAAAACACTTGAGAAAAGACAGTCATGCACATGGTACAATTTTTAAATATAGCTCAATCTACCCCCACTAGACGTCTCAGTGACTTTACTGTAACACAAACACACTAACACACACACAGTGACTGTACCTGTAGCAGCCTGCCGTCCTTGGTGCCAATGTGTGCCACAGTGTTGTTCCCGATGATGGTAACCAGCACTGAGGTGAGCAGGACATTGTTCATGTACCTGTTGAAGAGGTCCACTCTGTAGTAGGGTTTAGACACCAGGGTGGGACTGGCCCTGCATGTGGCATTGTTCTCTGAGCTCTGCACAGACACAACACACATAGAGACAACAACATTATTACTCAAACTGACTGACTACTCAGACATGAGTACTCTGCTAAATGTAATGTAAATGTACTAATTTCACACAATTTCCACTTCCCTTTTTCATTTACATTTTAGTCATTTAGCAGACGCTCTTATCCAGAGCGACTTACAGTTATTTTTATCTTTTTCATACTGGCCCCCTGTGGGAATCAAACCCACAACCCTGGCGTTGCAAACGCCATGCTCTACCAACTGAGCTACATCCCTGCCGGCCATTCCCTCCCCTACCCTGGACGACGCTGGGCCAATTGTGCGCCGCCCCGTGGGTCTCCCGGTCGCGGCCGGCTACGACAGAGATTGGTTTATTGGTGTATCCTCTGATTTATTTTACATTACATAGTTGTTGTTTACTTTGGCTATATTTATTGTTTGTCATAATCTCCATTAAACTGCAATAAGTTAATCTGATTTGTTTTTATAGTGTTTTTCAGACAACCCCTGAACCTACCCACCCTCCCTCCCGCACACACACACACACACACACACACACACACACACACACACACACACACACACACACACGACACCACCACACACAGAGGAAGTGGCGAGAGGAATCTTCCACTGTGAGGGAGGATGTACCCCAGCCCTGGCACCTCCAGCCCTCACCCCTGTAACAGAGCACAGCCCTAACAACCCTGTCACGGAAAGGAAAAAGGTTATAAAAAAGTAGTGAACCATGGCTTCACACTGTTAAAATAGAAAGACTCAAAACACCATCTTTGTGTAGTAAAACCATGAAAAGTAGTGCACCAAAGCTGATATCTGGTGTTTGGAGGGTGGTTGAATGTAAACCAAATGTAAGCGGAATGTTTTTCAAAACGGAATTGAAGTACCTTGAAACACCCAAAGTAGTTCTTCAATCTGAATATTGGTGTTTTTAAGAGTGTTGTGAAACAATAGATAATAATAGTTTTCCACCTCTCCCACGTGAATTTGACCAAATTCAAAACAGCAATCCTTCTCAATCATTATTTGAGCTTTTATACAAAAATATGATGGTTCACTGATGTCATTTCATTTCTGAGTTTTTCCACTTTACTAGTGAAATAGTAATTGAAATGATTGGCAATATTAAAAGGTTTTGTTATAATAGACCCATCAACTTCAATGAATGATGGAGATGAATTGGGTTTTCTGCCCATTATATCATTTAAGGTACTGCAAAGTATTTTTCCATTGTGTTTTATGTCATTGATCTTGATTTGGTAATGTAATTTCTTCTTCTTTTTTATAAGTTTAGTCACAACTAGGGCTGTTACGGTGACTGTATCACCGCCACACCGGCGGTCACGAGTCATGACCGGAGTCAAATTCCACGTGACCATAGGTCACGGTAACTAGGCTTTTCCAAGCTCTGATGCTGCTGATGGTCATTAATAGCCTACCAAACTTGCTAATTGCCTGGTACTCAGCACTCTATTGTCCCTCTAATCACTCTGACATCAATGCAAATGTGATTGAAAATCTAATCAAACACTTAATGAGAGCCCATGAGCTCATGTTGCGCTACATTTCTATAGGCTATGCAATTGCTTGAGAACACCGACTTTTGATGGCCTCTATTAAAAAGAGGAGGATCCTATATTTATTTATCAACTTTCCTAATATTAAGCACATTGCTTCGCTTTACAACAGGAGTATAGCCTACCTGGCTGGCATGAAAATGAATCACGGGAAAAGCGTCCTCCATTCGCTATTTAAGTGCATAGATTACATGTCTTTTTTTCCACTGCCCCTGTATCGAGACAGGTGCATGATAATGGTCCATTCTAAATCAAAACTAATTTTACACATATATTATTTAGTATATGTAAATACAAGGTTAAATCAAGAAGAGTCTGATGGGTGACAATAGTAGCCTATCACTTGTGAATGATATATTATCACTAGTGAATGATGCCCAGCTTGTGTGCAGGAAGGCAGGAAACAGCACATGCCTTTTTATGGCTACTTTTTCTAATCATAGTCACACACCTCATGTAGCCTAGCCCATAGGCCTATATGTTTTGATACGTTTTGTATCACAACTAAAGTGGCCAAATAACTTCTTAAAATGAAGCACATTAATCCGCTTTACAACAGGTGTAGAGCCTAACTGGCATACATAGGCGGCGCGTGAGTTTCAAGTTTGGGGAAGATCATTTTCACCATAGAAATGTACCTTTATAATAAAGCATTAAATGCATAATCGCATTTGCGTCACTTTTGAGAATGGTGTTTTCCCGCTAATTGATGGCATTTTGGAACATTTGCGCTTCTAGCCTACTGCCGTGTGCGCATTGCTGTGCTTATAATGTGAAGAAATAGCCTAATAGTTTTTCAACATTTTAAGCTAAATGTTCTGATCTGTTGCATCAGCCTGAATGTTTTTAAACATTTTTTTTATGCTAGTGGTTGTATTAATTTGAGATCTATCGCATCCCACAACTGTCTTTGGAATATGTACTTATTGCACAGAAGGACAAGTTGACCAATAGAATAGGTCAACTTTTGTACTATGTCTTCTGTGAAAAGGACCCGATCACGTGACCGGCATTGGCTAATAAGAATTGAGATATCTGAGAGAGCCATGTGAGTGAGAGGTGCTTCGGAGCACGCAGCCGGGAGAAGGGCATTATAATTATTATATTCAGCCCCAAGGGCAAAACGGCCACTGGCCACAAAAGGCATGGATTTTCATAGGGGGTATTATGGCCACACAAAGGGGATGCCGCCGGGATATTCAAGGCATTATCAAGTGCTTGTCAAATTGTGAATGAGAGACTGATGAAGCGTGTGCAGCCTACGTCAGAAACAAAGCAGAGCTCATACCTTTCATGCCACCATTTTCAAATCATCATTAGAGTCGCATCATGCAGCCTTAGAATGTATTAAAAATCAAAACATATAGCCCAACATTTGTATCACAACTAAAGTTGGATAAATAACTCTAAATTAAGCATTTAGGAGGACCTACAGTGAGGGAAAAAAGTATTTGATCCCCTGCTGATTTTGTACGTTTGCCAACTGACAAAGAAATGATCGGTCTATAATTTTAATGGTAGGTTTATTTGAACAGTGAGAGACAGAATAACAACAAAAAAATCCAGAAAAACTTATGTCAAAAATGTTATAAATTGATTTGCATTTTAATGAGGGAAATAAGTATTTGACCCCCTCTCAATCAGAAAGATTTCTGGCTCCCAGGTGTCTTTTATACAGGTAATGAGCTGAGATTAGGAGCACACTCTTAAAGGGAGTGCTCCTAATCTCAGCTTGTTACCTGTATAAAAGACACTTGTCCACAGAAGCAATCAATCAATCAGATTCCAAACTCTCCACCATGGCCAAGACCAAAGAGCTCTCCAAGGATGTCAGGGACAAGATTGTAGACCTACACAAGGCTGGAATGGGCTACAAGACAATCGCCAAGCAGCTTGGTGAGAAGGTGACAACAGTTGGTGCGATTATTCGCAAATGGAAGAAACAAAAAATAACTGTCAATCTCCCTCGGCCTGGGGCTCCATGCAAGATCTCACCTTGTGGAGTTGCAATGATCATGAGAACGGTGAGGAATCAGCCCAGAACTACACGGGAGGATCTTGTCAATGATCTCAAGGCAGCTGGGACCATAGTCACCAAGAAAACAATTGGTAACACACTACGCCATGAAGCACTGAAATCCTGCAGCGCTCGCAATGTCCCCCTGCTCAAGAAAGCACATATACAGGGCCATCTGAAGTTTGCCAATGAACATCTGAATGATTCATAGGAGAACTGGGTGAAAGTGTTGTGGTCAGATGAGATCAAAATCGAGCTCTTTGGCATTAACTCAACTCGCCGAGTTTGGAGGAGGAGGAATGCTGCCTATGATCCCAAGAACACCATCCCCACCGTTAAACATGGAGGTGGAAACATTATGCTTTGGGGGTGTTTTTCTGCTAAGGGGACAGGACAACTTCACCACATCAAAGGGATGATGGACAGGGCCATGTACTGTCAAATCTTGGGTGAGAACCTCCTTCCCTCAGCCAGGGCATTGAAAAGGGGTCGTGGATGGGTATTCCAGCATGACAATGACCCAAGGCAACAAAGGAGTGGCTCAAGAAGTAGCAAATTAAGGTCCTGGAGTGGCCTAGCCAGTCTCCAGACCTTAATCCCATAGAAAATCTGTGGAGGGAGCTGAAGGTTCGAGTTGCCAAACGTCAGCCTCGAAACCTTAATGACTTGGAGAAGATCTGCAAAGAGGAGTGGGACAAAATCCCTCCTGAGATGTGTGCAAACCTGGTGGCCAACTACAAGAAACATCTGACCTCTGTGATTGCCAACAAGGGTTTTGCCACCAAGTACTAAGTCATGTTTTGCAGAGGGGTCAAATACTTATTTCCCTCATTAAAATGCAAATCAATTTATAACATTTTTTACATTCGTTTTTCTGGATTTTTTTGTTGTTATTCTGTCTCTCACTGTTCAAATAAACCTATCATTAAAATTATAGACTGATCATTTCTTTGTCAGTGGGCAAACGTACAAAATCAGCAGGGGATCAAATACTTTTTTCCCTCACTGTATTTCTTTGTTAACCGCTCAACACAGAATAGCCGCATGTGCACACTCCCTCAAATCGTTAGGATAATATATCCTTTCTATTTTATTCAGCTATGTTCAATTTGATTCTTCATACCATGAAATAATATAAAATAATGCCACGGAATTCTAAGCAAATCTTGTCTGCTTAATGAACTAGTGTAGCCCACAGCCATATGGCATAGCCAGATCAGGGCCTAACATAAGGACAACTCAGAGTATGCTATTATGTTCTTCTGAAATAGCCTACATTTTATTCATATCATGTTTCTTTAGATCTGTCTAAAATAAATAATGTATTTATTGTGATGGTGTAGGCTATATTAAATGGATTTATTAGACTTTTTTAAATGTAGATGTTCTAA